CGTCGTACTGGTTAGAATGAGAGCTCCTGCCAAAATTAGGTATGCACAAGTACAGGTCGGATCGCGCACAGGAGGACATATTGAACACATAGCTAACCATCACGACTTCGAGAAACCCCAATACTATCCACTTGAGGATGGCTGTTGGAGGCAGGGTTGCTGTGGACTTTGGAAGCATGGCCTGGAGAATCTCAAGATCTTCTGATCTAAGAGAAGCATCTGGGTGGAACTGCAAGAGCGGAACGAAATCAGCATATGTTGTGGAGCCAGGACGAGGGAATTCCTCTTCTCAGTGCCTCTCGCCTCTAGGCCCCCATCCAGGTCCTTTCATAACCCCAAGTCCTGCGTGACTTGTTTTAGTTTTGGGGGACTTTGTTGGATATCCGCTCAAGGAGTTTTCCTTTGTACCCTTAGGGTTTGTACCCTTGAGTTTGGGTCCCTAAACCATGGAAAAGGGCCCTTAACAAATGGGTATTTGGGACCCCAAGCCTAGGGTTACAAGCATTAAGGGTACAAACTCAAAAGTCTTTGATCCACCGGCCGGAGCACTGTCAATAACGAACATCAAGAAACAAGCCCCCCCAAAGTTGAGGCAAACTGGTGGATATGGTCCAAATCTCCAACCCTAAGCCTTTATTGAATGAATATGGCGGTTAAAAAGGGGCATAGGAAAAATGGACAAGACAATGGAAACTATCATATCATAGTAAGGGGAAGTCTTGGGAAGAAAATATGGGGATTCTATAGGGACATTTCACCAAGAACTCATAAGAGATGGAAAAAGGCATGGAACATGAGATGGAGGCTGGGATTAAATAGGGGTTACAAGATTAAACATCCTGCACGGCCTCAGTATACCATAATACCATCATTCCTAAAGCATATTGCAGTTAGGGTCATGTAGAAGTTTTCAGTATCCACCGTAGAATCCCCTGGATCTTCAACCTGAAGCCCCTGGTGAAAGCAGCGTGCGCTCTTTTTTGCCTGCCAGGCTTCAGCTGGATCGGCACATGCAACCATACGTTAGGCGGACCCCCCACCCAGTAATAGTGACTATAAGGGATAATAGGGATTATATTAGGGTCCTCTTATATTCTTATTATACAACTATTACAGGGTGGGGGGTCCTCCTAAACCATACGTGCGTCACAAAACAAGGAGGTATTCAGTCTTCAGACTCGTCGTACCTCCTGTTTGTTGCATGATTCCTGACGAGCCCTTTATACGGATCGCAGAGGGCTGAATCTGGATTTGGACTGGACCTTGTGGCTCTACGCTGGACTGTTCTGCATTCTGCAGATTTCTGGGACTTAATCCCAAGGCGGAGCCTAGAAGCCTGAAAGATGTGAGGGTTTCTCAAAACAAGAAACCCTAAACTGTTTTAAGGAGCCCCAGTCCCAAAATTCAGAAGGCCTCATCTCTGAAGAAAACTCCTAAGCTTGAGATAACGAGAAACTTCAAGATCCTAAGGATGGAGAGAAGTTACTGGGCGTTGTTTTTCCCAACTGGGTGTATTGTGGGGGTATTTTTTTGGGGGAGTCCCTAGAATGAGGACTATTGTATTTTGGGGTCTGTGTTGGGGTTCCCTTATTTTGGGAACCTACCAAATGTCTTTTTGAGGAAGCAAAGTCTCCGCAATTGGGCGTCTCCAAGAATATGCACTCGCAATTATTCCCAAGGAGCTCTAGACACGCTTACCAAGTAACAGTCATAATGAAAATCCTGCCTAACATCACCATGCATGGAGTGCCCAGTATGCAGCCCAAAACGCAATCTTAGCTGTTAGGGCGGGGAAAGAAATGCCACCAGGTTGGCTCTCTCCGGAGAACATATAGTAGTTTCCATTTTATTTTCCATTATCCCCATATAACCCCAATATATTCCCCAATGTATTGTAATAGTTTCCTTGTCATTATTACAAATCAGCACCACAACACGCCAAAGGTCCCCAAAGGTGCGGCAAACTTTGGGAACTGCCATCTCATGAGATGCAATGAGGTACAGCATTTGAGGATTGCCGGCTTTCCGAGTGCAGGTTCATAAAAAGTTCTGCATGGTCAGCGCTATTTCATCAGCAGATATGTTGTGAGAAGGGATCTTGAACGAAAGCGAGTTGCATGCGAGGCACTGATGTGGAAGAGCTCTGCATCGCTGGGTGTTGCGGGGTGTTCAATTTCTAGGGGAATTATCCCAGACCCGTCATGTATGTAATTGGGGCAATGAAAAGCACCATGTCTTGCCCGGGTTCAGGCTTCCGTGTCTGGCCAGGTAGCAGCAAGCAATTTAAAGGAATCTGCCACTTCAAAAGACACAAGAACGGGAGCGTCCTCATCGCTCGCTCTTAACGTTAGTATCTTCTTGTACTGCTACTCCCGTTAACTTCCACTGCGACTGTTGCCATAAAATCTTTTCATGCGTGTTTCTGCAATCATTTCTAAGCCAAGCATGCTGGCACCAACAGTCACGCTTGCGTTTAGTACTGGGATGTTGGGAATCATGTGCCAGCTAGCTAGGTAGAAGTTGCTTTCGATGACAAGGTTGAGGAGCAGCGATGAGGTAGCGACATCGGCTCTTGGGAAAACAGCTCCATGTGGCTTCATGGTGGTTTCCAGCGATCAGGCGCCCTGAAAGCCATAGGCATCTTGAAGCTCTCATATCTCACAGTCAGGATCTTCCTTCGGTTCTCCCAAACCACCGGATCCTCATGGTAAGGGGTTCCATTCGCAGAGCCCTGATTGCGAGACCCCCATGGTTAGCGGTACATGCGGCTGCCATCACGCAATCTTGCGAGTTTCATGGCGCCGCGGACACAGCTGCGCGCGCAACAATAGAAGCCGGAAACAGCAGAAATCAGGGTGAACACTTTCGTGCTCCAAACTCAAACAAACGCGCCCCGCTGCAGATAATATACGGCCCTGAAGGGGCGACTGCATCCATCTACGAAATTTCGGCCACCCGATTACCAGACAGCACATTTCTCTTTAGCTCCTATCTACGCCAAATGACGTACTTGCATGCTTGGATACTGGCTTCCAGATAAAACTAATACAATGCCTAGCCCGCTGGGACGGGAGCGGTTTAGAGGGAACTGTGCCATCATCTACGGCTCCTGGGAGGCGCGAGCCAACTTTCATCCCAGCACGATCGTGCTCGGAGGAGGGGGTACTGGATCCTCAGCGAATGTTTCTCCGTGAGTGATTCGGCGCGACCAGTGACAGATAGTGTGGAAAGCTCACAAAGCATACAGGCCATCTAAAACTGGCCATCTGCAGACGTTCACTGTTGCATCCGCATTCTTTAAAGCACCTTTCCTTGTTTGATATGACCTTCCTAAGCGCATATGTAAAGGATCAGAGGGCTGCAGCTCTATGGCCTCAAATCTGAGCCCTGGACTTCCTTGCAGGGTTACAGGGTCGGAGTCATTAAGTGCTGCCCGCGTTCCAGTTGTCTGCCAACAATAATGTCTGGGCCAGCGTAACTCTTCCAGCCCACCTATCGGCATGCAAACTTGGAGAGCTTCATGGGTGGGGGTGCATGGCAAGGGCCTATAGAAGGATGGCACAGGATCCTGGGAGAACGATGTGAGAGGGTTTTCTACGGCCTTACGCACCAGCGGCCTTGCTCACCAGTGCAGGGCTAAGTTATAGAAAGCGTGACTTCCTTGTGTCTGCAAACCACGTGCACCCGCAGGGTTCTGCTTGCCAGAACTTTGAAAAAATGTCAGCGCTAAGGACAAGACTCTTGAACACAGCATCCTACATCGGGCGACCTGATCAGATAATTGTGGACACCACCCCTCAAATCTGCACTACTTTCTGCGTGATCTGTCATGGTTTCATCGTTCCTGTAAAGCCCTACGCAGCACCCTTACATCTCTTCCTTACTACAAACCTACCAGAGACACGAACCCACATGAGCTCAAGTCCAAACTCCTAGTCTTAATAACCCCTAGAATACTCCCATATATAATCGCCTTGATAACCGCTCTTTAAGCAGTTTAGACTTCAGCTCACATCAAGTTCGGCATGAGACCTCTCGCCTCCGCTGCAGATGTCACTGGCGCCGGCAGGCGATCCTGAGGCCAGAGCCGCCTGCACGGCGAGGCCAGGCGGGCGATGGAAGAAGAACCCAAACAATGTGGTTCTAGGGCCCATATACAGCTAAAAATCTGGTATTTGGGCCTAGCCCTCGATATTATTTTGGTTCTTGGAGACAACAAGATGATGAGAGTGATGGCAATCATAATGAGGAATGCCGCTCCACTGAAGGACATGATTCAGATCCAGGGGGGCAGCGGCCAAATTGGTGACCGCAGTGCCCGGGGTGGGATGGTGGTGCTTTTGACGCGGGCAGTGGAACTGCGATCGCTACCATCAAAGCTGCTGCCATCATCACAAGCACCCTACCATGTCTCTGTTGTCGGTGGCAACTCTCCTCAGAGTACATCAACATGTTTGTTCAGGTGGCTTGGTACTGCACTTCCGGACGTAAATAAGACAAAGCTCCAAATGATTGGAAAAGCTGCGTGTGCAGCTACGGGCTTCCAATTTTGTCATGAGCGTCCGAGTCTGCCTGGAAAGCATGTTTTGAACTTCTCTATACTGGTATCACTGCGCTACAGCAGCATTCCGACCAATCTTCTTCTTTGAGCAAATTCGTGCCACCTGCAACCCACTATGACCTCTGGCCGCTCATGCATGCACCGCTGTGCCATTTGCGTGCCACCGCAACCACTTCTTCCCAAAAAACCCTGACGAACACTGGAGAATGGACATATAGAGCCCCTCCGGGCTCTTCCCGTACATCGGGAGGCACAGCCCTGCCTCCAGCCACCCCAGTGGGCCAAACCCAAGGTCCCAAGCCCTCGGCCGTGCCCCCACATTTTCAGCCTCCTTGCAGGGGGCTCCCTTTGAGGGGTCCGGCCCCCAAGCTGCGGCAAATCCTCCTGGAGGCGCTCTGCAGGCCCCCTGGAGGCCGGCCTGCGGCAGGCCTGTCTTCCGCTACTGCTTTGACGATCTTTTCGAGGTGGGAATTGAGGGGCGAGATTCATAAATCCACAAACTGCCTAACCCCGCAAAGCCGCAGGAACGATACCAGAATAAACCCCTCCTCCTCGCATCCAGGTAAGCTCTTCGTCCCTGGTGGTCATAGGACACACCATGGTAGATCAGCTCCTTCATGTCTGGCCCACTCCTGAAAATAGCTTCGAAGTCAGGGTAGCGCTGGTGGCAAGGATGTCCGTAGAAGAGGAATGGTGGTAGTGGTGGTGTCTTTGTTGTCGTAAGTAGTAGTCGTCGTGGTCGTCATCGTCGTTGTCGCAGTCGTACTTGGCGGAGTATTAGTAGTTGTAGCAGTAAGGCGTGGTGGTGGTGGAGGAGTAGGAGGAGTAGGAGTAGGGGTAGCAGAAATCATAGTGTAGAAGCAGCAGTAGAAGATGTACGGCAGTGTAACTGTACTAGTCGCAATAACACGTTGCATGACGGACATGGTCATGCTCCATGCCTTTCACACACACACACACCCACGCAACCGCACTCGCAAACTTGCCCATAAACTGCAAAGGCACTCCCCCCCTCCCATGCCACACCTGAGCTGCTGCTCATCTTCGAGCTTCAGCCTGCCAAGAGCATATCTCAGCTGTGTACTTGATGACTGAATCTGACTGAAGGGTCTGGAAATTGCTGCCTTGCCAGACTACTCTGAAATTCTCCTGTAACATGCAACATGCTGTCCAGTCTTTGTCTGGATATTTTATGACCCAAGGAGAGACTGCAATTCCGACTTGTCCACGATGTGGGATGTAGGAGTGTTGCAATAAAACCGGACATCCAACCTGTTCTGGATTCTTGAACCCCTTGGCTTTACCATCTTTTCCACAGGAACCTCTTTTGGGTCTAAAAACTACCCCGATAACATGCAGTCTGGCCGTGCACGCCCTTAAGAGGGCTTCTAAAACGAAGCCGCGGCCTTTGCTCTATGTAGTGCTTGTTGCAGGACATCTCCGCCAGCCGTCGACGGGGCTTTTCTTGGAGCACCTCAACCAGAATTCGAGGCATGCGTGTTTCCATTCTTTCTGACATCACTGTGGGGGTCCAAGTGCTCTGCGCAACCCGGGATTGTCTCTGTGACATAGCAAGGGCCCCATGCGCCTGTCTAAACACTCAACAGGAGTCCCAAAGACAGGTTCCTTAGTCTTGACTTTGTACACGTGTACCCCATGCAAAGCGTGCATGTGGCATGACATGTGCGCTGCCGATAGAGCCCTCCCGCTTAATCCGGCATTCATTTCTCCCATCCACTTCATAATTCTGTCAACTCGTCCTTCGTCAGGGAGCCCAGTAAAAGTCAAATACAACCCGTTTGAAGGCTCTCATGTAGTCAACATTCACAATTGCCAACCATCTGCATGGCCTTAACTATTCTAGTTCAGGACCTTCAGAACCGCAAAATCGCTGGGTCACATGGTTCTAAAGCAGGCCGGTTAGTTTCCATAAATTGGGGGATCCCAATGTAGACAGAGTTTAATGACACCCAAAAAGGTACCCTAATTTTGGGCAACGATAAGCCCCGTACATTATATATCTCTATCTATACCCCGATATATCCCCAACATTTTTGAGCCTCAACTCACCTAAGCTAGTGGCTGGGGTGGACTCGCTACGGACGAGCTCCGCCGCATCCGAACTCGAAGCCACCTCTTCGCAGCGGAAAAAGAAATGGACACTGCTATGTTAAAAAAGTGTGGACTGGGATGTAATATTGTTGTATAATACGGCAGAAGTCTTTTGGATAACCCGAACCTCAACCCATGATACTACACCTTCACAAGGTTGAGCTAAAATATGTTGCCCCATGATTGCCTGAATATTGGGTTCAGGTGGGATGTTGTAGGGCAGCCAGTCGCCACTTCCTGCGAGAGACTTCAGGCTACGACCCGTCAACGGCTCCATAGGACATTTTGCCTAAGGGTAGTAGTTTGACAAGATCTTGCACTCCAGCCAAACTCGCTCAGAAAGCTGGCGATGTACCGCGTGCGTCTGGACAACAGAGTCCATGCTCAGATCGTCTCCTGATCCTGCCACCCTCTTATCTCTTGATCTGCCCCAAAGTCCTGTTCTCCGAAGCTTGTGGATCCGCTGCCCATATGCTGAACTGAACCCACAGATCCCTCCAAGACGGAAAACCCAACAGAATCCAAGAGTTGAGCTGACCAATGACGTCATCGCCTGTGGCTGCGAGTTTGTTCGCTCGATTGCAGGCGGCAGAGGCACGACACCCTGCTTCAGCAGGTATTTGGCCTCATGCGCGGGACTAACAGGCTTAGTAATTGCTAAAGCGTCACAAGTTTTGCTGTCATCACTCAGAAGGTTCTTGACTCCTGGAAAAAGTCCATCCTCAAGAACTCGGAATATTATGAGTGCAGCTAGAGTGGTAAGCATTCTTCGAATCGACTGTTGTAGGCAGCTTGTTCCAGCAGCAGGTGCATCAGAAGCTGCCTGGAGCTTCAGGGTGTTCTGTTATTTGGAGCCCATTAGCAATCACGCCAAATGGACTTGTTATTGTAGAGCGACCAAGAAGTCTCTACAAACTTAGCGGGCTATGCTATTAGCCCTGAACTCTCGAACCATTGAGCCATCGGCTCTTAAATGGAGATTTCAACCTGTCAGGAGCTTCTTCCTTGTAGCTAGGCGGCTCTGCAGGGGTCTGGGTTCTGCCCAATCCAGCTCACGCCGCCGCGGCCCTCTTGTGTCGCAGGCTTGCTTAGGTGTGGCAGCTCCTGTTTCCATCCTGGCCAGGAAGGAGTCTCGCAACCAACTGCCAGCCTCTAGGTAATGCAGTGGCGAAAAAACTAAGATGTACTGAGCGGGCAAAGGCCATTAGTAGATATTGGTAGCGTGTATGCAGCGTGTTTTCGTCCACTACAGATCAACAAGGTCAATCTCACACCCCTACCTGTTAACCCCGGGTCTGGCTGGGTGGTCGTGGGTGGGAAATGCAAAGGCTTCAACTTAGATTCTTCTTGCTGGGAATGAGTGAGGACCTGGGTCCCTACTATGATCCCTACAATGCCCTACAATAAAACAGCAACTCCATAATGGCTTCCAACCAACCAGAGCAGTGAAGGAACAAGAGTCGTAGCAACAATATTAGGTATCCAATGCAGTCGTAGACTCCCCTAAAGTGCCGAAGGGCCTCATATTAACAGTAGCCTCCAATTTTTTTCATTATGCCAATATAGCCCGTATACAACCCCAATATATAACCCCTGTATACAACCCCTATATTATCCCAAATTGCTCTAAATAATTTTAGTACCTTTTCCAGACGTCCTTTCCCTACTGACAAGGCAACCTTGGGTCAGAGCTCTGGGGGCTGGCTGATTCTCTTGCAACACATATCCCTGGGTTGCTGTTAATGAACTTGAATTAAGATATATTATCCCCTATAATGGAGAATCAAATGGAACAGAAAATGGAACATGAAATGGAAACTGGGGTAATAGAGGGATTTAAGGAACTTAAATTCAGTTACCAGAATGCGTGTATATGTATATATATATATATGTATATATATGGTTTCCACAATATAGTAACTCAAATTAAGTTCCTTAGCAGCAACCCAGTTTTGTTGAGTGAGTCTAAGGCAGTTGACGAGTTGAGGATGTAGAGCAGCTGTGGAGAAAACTCAAGTCCGTCCACGTATTCGCACGTTTATGTAGAAATGAACAAACTCTGCATTAGCCACTACAGGTGGGCAGAGTCTTGCCCACGTCTCTCCACAACGATGCTACCTGTGAAATGTTGGAAGCCTTGAGGACCCAGGAGAAAAACATGAGTGGCTATGCAAAACTGCTAGAAGGAACCCTTGCCCGCCCTTAGTGCTCGCTACTAAGTAGAATCTTGCCAGTACTTCAACATGTTTTGGGACGGCCCAGGATGAGGGTGGGCCTTCCATGTAGCGAGCATTGTATCTCTTGAACTTCTCCACAACGCGGACCTGCAACGATGATGACCGTGATTGTTGTTTACCAGAGTGACAAGGGTGATGCACGCCATCACTCAGCTCTGCTGCTACGGGCGACCGTAAACAAGCCGCCCAGTGTTTGTGGATTCAGCTATGGCTTCTGCCCATGCGACTGCTACTGTGTGTGCCAGGTCTGAAAACAGCCATCGCAACAAGAACAATGACGTTTGGAAGGTCAAGACAAACAAGAAGAAACAAGGGGAGTCTAAAGATAAGCGCGATGACCGTGATGAAGTCTGACGATCACCTCCAATGGCTTTGGTGTCGGTCTCCCAATCTTTCCGCTTGCAGCCGGCGGCATCGCGCACAAGCTGCCAGCCGTCCGCTCTCTGGGGCTTCGGGGTGTTTAGGGTGGCATACTTGAGGGATCAGCAGTGGTGCAGTTGTGGTGCATGGGGAAATAAGAGGAATGACCACCTCTTGGCAGATTCCACAGGGGTCATTTGTCTATTAGCCAGCTTATGTGAGACCGGCCATGGTCTTCACTATCGCTCAGCTGCTGCCATGACAAAAGGCTTCAGGGTTACCTTCCTTATAAGTCCAAGGATTGTTGTCTCCTTGAGCCATCAAGCTTCACCGGCGGAACATTTATATTCTAAACTTTGATGTAGGGGGCGTTGTCGCAGCAGCAGCAGCTGCAGAAGCAGCAGCAGCAGCAGCAGCAGCAGCAGCGGGAGAAAGAGGAGGAGTAGAGTAGCAGCAGTAGTAGTAGTAATAATAATAACAGGAGTAGGAGTAGGAGTAGGATGAGGAGCAGCGGCAGGAAGGAGGAGGAAGCGGCCAAGTGTGCACGGTGGATCGCGGTGATGCTGGCATGGCTGCCTGGTTCATCGAACGATTCTGACCATCTGACAGCTGTGGGCTTGAGAAGACTGCTGTTTTGGAGCTCCAGCTTTTGCTAATGACAGGAGCACTGGCGAGGAGTTTGGCCGCTAGTTCTTTATCATCGTGCTCTTGAAAACGGTGTGCATGATTGAAAAACCCTGCTGCTGAATTCCAAGCGCAGCTGACTGTACCCAGAGAATCTAGAACCTCTTACAAATTGCTTCAATTCAAGAGCAGGACCTTGGAATCCCTGCAAGGGCTTCTTGCGTAGAGGTTCCTTACACTGTTCAAAGCTGTAAGCTGCGTGCATCGTTTTTAGAGCAGAGCTTCTACAGTAGGTGTGAGGCAAGGAGCTTCGGAACTGGAGGTTCCAGGCAACAATGATCAAGACCCAGGACTGAACAACTAGACGACAAACGTACTCTCTGACCTAAAGCTTATGCATGTCCAAAATCTACCAAAGCCGCCCCTATCGAAGGTCGTGGAAGCCAGCTCCCTCGAATAAACCTCAAACCGTGCATCCCAGGCCAAACACCTCCACGTCGCTTGACCCAAGCCTCCCAACTCCAAAAACTTGTGGAAACCATGAGCTGCCAACACTTCGCAGGAATGGGCGTTCGTGGCCTGCGTGCCAGGCACAAAGGTAGAAGTAGTAAGAAAGGGCAAGACTCCTAGCTTGCAAGGACGATGACACGTCTTGTAATGAAAATGACCAATGCCTATAGGCAAGGGCACAGTGGCAGATTTTCACATGCAAGGCTGGCCGTCCTCCATGCTGCGAGATGTGGGAGCCAAGGTAACCTCTGAGGCCGGAAGCGTGATCTCAGTGCCAGCAGACATCGGGCTGCAGGCCTGCAACTGCCATGGCTTCCATTTTCTATAGTATACTGGAAAAGAAAAGTGGACAGTGGAATATCAAATGTTGATGATTCCCTAGGTTCCCCAGTAACCCATTAATGATAAGGGTACCCTTTTTCCTACTGTGCAGTTTTAATAAGGAGACCCCAAAATAGAAAAGGCAAAAAGGGCACTACTGGGGTACCTAGTTCCTATCCCAAGCTCAGCTTAAGATTTATAGTCCCCCTTAAGTAGATAGAATATGGGGTATATGGGGATCCTATTATACTATACCCAATGCGATATTCTTTCTACTTAAGGGGGACTATATAGGCTGCAGTACTGGAGCCGTGCCTTGCACAGAGTGTATCTGTTCACGGCCGCTATCTTTTTGTTTACCGACTTTTACGGTAAATTGTGGTAGTTTCCCCAAATTAGGGGACCGAAATATAGACTCCAAAATACCATAATCCTTAGTATGGGGACCCCCTGTAAGGTCCCCCTAATTTTGGGAAACCCCCTTATCTCTTACACTCTCCCCACTACTGCCTTCACGTTCTTGCTCGCAGCTTCGAGAATGCTATTTGCGGCATCATCCCCTGTGTACCTTGCTGTACCGAATAATATTACCAATAAGAATGCAAATAAAAATATGAACGATATCAATATTAATAGTAATACTAAAAATGATAGTAATACACATTTGTAGTACAGTGATGATCTGCATTGCTACATCTGTGCTCAGCAATCAATATCAGTGCCCTTGCTTGTCCAGGTTCGTTTGGAGCAGCAGGTGAATTGCGTGTAACAGGCATTAGGATACCCATTAAAACTCAAAGAACATGGTATCAGAAAGTTGGGCTTCGGCGTCAGACAGGGACGACGTGGAGAAAGGGGAACAGGGCCGAAGGGGGGCTCACCTCAAAAGGGATAAACCTGCCCTTTGGAATTGGGAGCAACATGAGCTATAGTCTGAACTCCTAATATCCCCCTTAATAACCCCTATAGTAGTCCCATATATAACCCCCTTTAAGGATTACAGATTATGGCTCATACGAGGACCCCTGCGCTGGTCCTGAATATCGTGGGCTTCGGGCTGTGAGGTCATCTTGATCTCCGGCTGCACGATCTTCGAGGATGTGACGTCCTGTGAGCTATCCGCAGTTCATATATTCGGGAGAAGCAACCAATTAGGAACCCACATGCCATCCCGCATTTGGAACCCAATATAGACCCCAAGATACTATCATTCGCACTCTGGGCACCCCAAAATATACGTACGCCTAATTTTGGGAACCCTCCCGTTTTGACGCCCACAGCAGGGGCAAGTGCCAGTGCGACTCTTGCTGACAACCATCTGCACTAGCCGAAGCTTTTTTTAGAATGGCACTTCCCCCAGACCCCTAAACCGTAGCCCGTAACCTTAAACCCTTAAACGTTCAACCCTAAACCCTTGAACCCCAAAGCCCTACACCCTGCTTGTACAAACCTGGCAGGCCCTCATTCACGCCCGTTACCCATGTGCAAGCCTTCTCTGCGCTTCTTGGAACTATGAATATCAATATGCTAACGTGTGGGTCCAACAGGAAAGCCTTACAATTTATCTTGCAACTTCCAGAGCATCATTGATTTGCGCATCGCTCGAGACATGGATCCATGTAGTAGTCCTTCCATAAACAATTCCCAAGAACAAGTCCTGTATTCCAGTCTTTCGTGCCCTACTAGCCACCAGAAAGTTGTTCCCACACCAGCCCCGAAGCTTGTCCTTCAGTCCCCTAGCTGAGGATGACTTCATCAACGAGCGCAATGGAGTTGGACTTGGCGTACTGTGTGCGTGTGTGTGGGGCATGACTATCTCCCTGGTACTGAGGAGGGCATGGGGGAATGGATCCCTATAGTAGTCCATATATAAACCCTAATAATACTCGCTATAATTTCCTAGATACTCCCTAATAACAACCCCTATAAGTCCTTGTACAATCTCTATAATCCATTCCCCCCTTTCCCTTTCCAAGCACCAGGGAATTATGCCTGAAAAGCCGTCTTTGCCTGAATTCTCTTTCAGAGTGGGTTTTTCGGGGCTTGGGGATGCAGCTACATCT